CCCAAAGCGATTCTGACAATGAGCCAAGGTTAAGAGTCCTGGTAGTATTATCTCCCTGATCTCCACAGTAATCTGGTTTATTTTGCAAACAAGAAAACTGAGGCTCAGAGAAGAATTAATCAACAAAGCCTCAGTCATACTGATTCTCCAAAGCCTATGATCTCTTCCATACAACATCAGACATAACATTTGTTGGCACAAGACTGCAAAGCAGAGACCTTCCCACTGTGCAGGGCTGGAAATTCTGATAACAGGGGCCTTGGCAACCACCCCACATTCGTCTTCCCTATTCCCACTGAAGGCTGTGAGAACACTTGTTGGATTAGAGTCCCAGCTGCCATAATGAAGTATACAGGCTGGGTGGCTTAAAACCCAGAGGGGGCCAGGTGCGGTGGCTCACGCCTGTAATCCCAGCCCTTTGGGAGGCCGAGGCAGGTGGATCACCTGAGGTCAGGAATTCGAGACCAGCCTGGCTAACAGGATGAAACTCCTAGGAGCCTGTGGCCATACCCACAGGCAGGGTGGTCGATCCTAGCTACTTCAAGAGGCTGAGGCAGGAGAATGACTTGAACCCAGGAGGCTAGTTGGAGTGAGCAATTGCTGCTTTGTCATTGGCTGGAGGAGCAGACCAGATGTGACATGAGAACAGTTCAGAAACCTGGCTCAGAAAGCTTTTGTTTGTTTGAAACAGTGGAGTAATCATGGCTTATTGCAGACTGGACCTCCTAGACTCAAGTAATCCTCCCAATTCTTCAGTCTCCTGAGTAACTGAACTGCAGGCACACACCACCACACCCAACTAATTTTTTTTTTTTTTTTTTTTTTTGTAGAGATGGTGTCTCACTATTTTGCCAGGCTAGACTTGAACCTCTGGGTTGGGTCATGATCAGAGTGCCTACCTTGGCCTCCCAAAATGCTGGGATTACAGGCATGACCCACTGTGCCTGACCACTGACCAACAGCAAGTCCATTCAATCAACAACTCTTAAGAGCTTCATGTGCCAGGAGCTGGGCAAGGAGCAAGGCAGGCAGGATCCAGTCAATCATGGGCTCATGGGTTAGTAGGGTGACTGAGCAGCTGTGTTGCAGGACTAATGAGGGCACACTTTGCTAAACCAGTGACCCAGGTCGCCTGAAAGGAAGGAACTTGATGCCTTCTGAGGAGACCTGCAGCTGCATTTTTCCTCCTTCTCATTCTCTCCTTCCTCTTCCTTCCTTTCCTTTTGTTTTCTACTCACTTTATTCTTTCTTAGGTTTAAACTTGCGAGGTTAACATCTTAGTGGGAATAGAGGGATTAGAGACAGCGAGGGTTGTGGGGCATAGTAATGATTGTACCTGAAGACTCAGCGGGAGGAGGAAGGCAGGGGCAGTGGCCCGGGCCGCAGTGTGCCCCTTTCAACAGCACAGCAATCACATTCCGGCAGATTCATGGCAATGGACAACAGCTCTTAGAGATTTACCAATTTGAAGCCATGGAGCCCCACCTCCCACAAAAAAGAATCACTCCATTGTTTGGTCCTGACATAGCATGTCCCCTGGGGTGCCAGAAAGGCAGACCAAGTCCTGACCAGGAGGGAAGTTAATGCTCACATGAGAATCCTCCCCATTTCTGGCTGTAATGGTGCGAAATCGTCTAGCCTGGGTAGTCTCTCACATCTGCTCCATCTCCCTCCACATTGCCGCTGTCTCATCTCTTATCCCTGCATTGTCTCTAGGGTCTAATCAGACCCCTTCTGATCCATTCCCACGTACAAAGGTGTCAGAAGGATCCTTCTCAAACACCAATCAGACCTGGGCTCAGACACTCTGGCTCCCAGTGGTTTCTCACTTCCCCTGTGACCTCGCTCCCACCTGCCACTCTAGTTTACCTGCATCTCTACGTGCTACCCTCTGCCATCTCTTCTATCCATCAGACACCTGTGGAAGCCTCAGCATCATATGCACCTGCTCTCACTCTCTGCCTGAGCTCCTGTCCAGTCTTGGTCAGCTGGGTAACTTCCTGATCCTTGGAGAACCAGGGCTCCATCAGCACCTCTGGGCAAGGTATGTGCCCTTCTCAGAGCTCCCATCTTATATCATCACACTGTGCTGTAATTTCTTATTTGTCTTTCTCTCCATTAGACTAGGCCCTTTTTTTTTTTTTTTTTTTTTTTTTGAGATGGAGTCTCACCCCGTCACCCAGGCTGGAGTGCAATGGCACAATCTCAGCTCACTGCAACCTCCACCTCCCGGGTTCGAGCAATTCTCCTGCCTCAGCCTCTCAACTAGCTGGGTGGATCACAGGCGCCCGCCACCATGCCCGGCTAATTTTTGTATTCACCATAGCTGGTCAGGCCGGTCTGAGCTCCTGACCTCAGGTGATCCTCTGCCTCTGCCTCCGGAAGGGATTACAGGCGTGAGTCACCATGCCTGGCCAAGGCTGGGCCTCTTATGTACAAATGTCTGGATTATGCTGTGATCTGTACCCAGCCCCACCCCATTCCTAGACCGGGTCCTGGTACAACAATGAACGCTAAGGAATGAATGAAGGCCCAAGTGGGAACCACCACCCATCTGACCATGAGCTCTGGGCCTTGCATTATATACTTCTATGTTTCCAAATGGATTTTGTTTTTGTGAATCCAACAGTTTTCTAGGTGTGAGACTTCACTGCTAATTCTAGTCTGGAAGTGTCCAAGGCAGGGCCAAGGCAAGCACCACAGGCTGGGTCCCGGAAGTTCCCGGGTAGAGACCACTATTGGAAAAATGGGTCTCACAAGAGGGACTCTCCCACTCTGCCACTCTTCAGTTGGCCTCGAAGTGGGCCTTGTCTCTGAGGTGCCTCCTCAGCGCCTCCTTTATCCCAGGACTTCTGAGGTTCCCACTTCAGCCTTGGTGGTTTGGAGCTGGGTAGAGAACATCTGTCAAATTCTTTGGGAGCCCGGCTCCTAGGTCAGTGGGCCAGAAATCAGCAGGGCAGAGATAAGGTGCTCATACATGCTGGGTCCCATTGGTGAGTCAGCGCACCTACTGAAAGCTTCGGAACCAAACTTGCTGGGGTACGCGCAAGGTTGCTGCCTGCCACCCGCCTGGGAAGCCACGCCTGACGACCCACGTCTCTCCCGAACCCACGCGCCTCCCGGCTGAAGGAACGCCTGCCTCTATCAAGAGAAATACACTGCAGGTTGGGGTGGAGCTACTCTGCACTCCTGTACTTGGGAGGTTGAGGTAGGTGGATTACTTGAGTTGTAGTTCAAGACTAGCTTGGCAATATGGAACCTTGATCTCTAGAATGAAAATACAAAAAAATAATAGTCACTTGTAAAACACTTGTCACTTGTAAGACACCCCTAATGGCTGTGAGATATAGCAGAGGGCTTACTGAATTTGGGAGAGAGAGTTATAGTGAGCCAAGATTAGGCATTGTATTTCCAGCCTGGGCGACAGAGTGAGACTGTCTCAAATAAAATAAAAAATAAAAAGAGGTTGGGTGCAGTGACTCACGCTTGTAATCCCAGCATGTTGGGAGGCTGAGGCGGGTGGATCACCTGAGTTCAGGAGTTCGAGACCAGCCTGGCTAACATGGTGGAATCCATCTCTACTAATAAAAATTAGCCGGGCATGGTAGTCCACACCTGTAATTCCAGCTACTCCGGAGGCTGAGGCAGGAGACCGCGAACCCAGGAGAGCTGAGATTGTACCACTGCACTCCAGCTCTGGTGGACAGAGCGAGATTCTTCCCAAAAAATTTTTAAATAAATAATAAAAGGCTGGGTATGAAGACCTTGTAATCCTGTACCAGGTGGTGGATTACCAAAGGCCAGGCGAGATTTGCTAACATGGAGATTCTATTCTTTGCTTAAAATATGCTGGGGGCCTAGCTTGAGGGTGGAACATCTAAAAAAAAAAAAAAAAAAAAAAAAAAAAAAAAAAAATTTAAATAAATAAATAAATAAAAAGGCCGGGCATGGTGGCTCACACCTGTAATCCCAGCACTAGGTGGGTGAATCACCAAAGGTCAGGTGTTTGAGACCAGCCTGGCCAACATGGTGAGACCCCATCTCTACTAAAAATACAAAAATTAGCTGAGGGTGGTGGTGCATGCCTGTAATCTCAGCTACTCAGGAGGCTGAGGCAGGAGAATCACTTGAACCCAGGAGGCAGAGCTTATAGTGAGCTGAGATTGAGCTACTGCACTCCAGCCCGCGGGACAGAGTGAGGCTCTGTCTCAACAAAAAATAAAAATAAAAAAAGAAATCCATTGCAGCCTTATCTCCGTAACAAGACTAGCAGGCCCTGCTTTCTTTTTTTTTTTTTGAGATAGAGTATTGCACTGTCGCCCAGGCTGGAGTGCAGTGGGGCCATCTCAGCTCACTGCAACCTCCACCCCCCGGTTCAAGTGATTCTCCTGCCTCAGCCTCCTGAATAGCTGGGATTAGGTGCCCACCACCACGCCTGGCTAATTTTTTGTATTTAGAGTAGAGATGGGGTTTCACCATGTTGGCCAGGTTGGTCTCAAACTCCTGACCTCATGATTCACCTGCCCTGGCCTCCCAAAGTGCTGGGATTACAGGATTACAGGCATGAACCACCTCACGCCCGGCCTCAGGCACTGCTTTCATAGTCCTGGTAACCCAGCAATCAGTCACTAGTGGTCTTGGAAAGTTGGCCCCTTTTTAGAACCAAGACCAGTCTCCCTTAAGCTTCTACCATGCAGGACCTTGTCCAAGTTTTATCACTGCCTTTAGATGCTGAAGTTCAGGAGAAGCTAGGGCATCTTGTCAGGACAGTTTACATTCTTTCCATGCTTCCTGGGCCACCCCTGAGAGGGTCAGACAAGCACACTCAAACCCCTTGGCCCTCTCCAGGGACTCATCAAGAGCAGGAATTTGGGGAGAGCAACGAGGGAAAAAGTCTGGATAACAAAGCTCACTGATCCAAAACTCAAGCAGAGATAACTGCAGGAGAGGGAAACCTCCCTAAAGAGCCCCTCCAGTCAACCACAGAACGTATCTCTTGTCACCAGCAGGATTTATTTCAGGGTTCTGCCAGCAAAATGACTTATAAATACATTATTCCGCATCTCCCCCTTTCCAGGGGTGCTGCTGAGTTGCATGGGATGAGATATGCTTCTGAGATCCTGGGGCGGTATCCCACCCCCAACTCACCAGAGCTCTTCCAGCACACAGCACCACCCCCACCCCCCAGCTGGCTTAGAGTTGGGCAGAGAAGCTTATGAGGCTGTTATCTCTCAACAGACAGCTGTGCAGGGCTGGAGGCAGCAGCTTATCAGGAGGCCTGCAGTGATTCACAGCCCAAGTCCCCGCTTCTCTGCTGAATAGTAATTTCCAGCAGTGGATTTGCGCTCAGTCTCTCTCCTCCCCTTTTCCCAAGGGTGTGCTGTCCTTTCTCAGAGAGAGGGCAGCGAAGGGGAGATCCTACTCACAGAGCTGGGGGCTTTGTGCCAGCCTTCTGGGTAAGGTTCAGTTTACTGTCTGGAGGCTGCAGGTTCAGGGACCTCAGCAGGGTCTGCCACCCTTTGCAGTGACCTCCAGGAGAGTTCATCCATGCTCTCCTTCCACTCCCTCCTTTCCCTCCCAGAAAAGCAATGTGCCACTCCCTTTCCCTTAGTGGTGATGTACAGGGGAGCATGGGCCCCCATGGGTCACAGCCCCTGAGGCCAGGGCCAGCCTGGGAGGGGAGAGTGGGGGAGGAGAGAGGAAAAAGCCAGGGACTGGGAAGTGCCTTGCACCATTTTGAAGCTGTCCAGTCTCTATGCCTGACTCTGAAGACTCCAAAGGATCAGGACGCAAGGCTGGAGGGGAGGGGAGACACAAAGGGCCAGGCCAGAGCTGTCTCTGCACAGGTGGGTAGTTAGAAAAAAATTTGGGGACAGAGCCATTTTTGTGCTTGTTTTATTGGAAGCAAGACTCCAGTTGCAGGGCTCAGGGGAGGAGGCCTGGAGAGTTCAGTCCTGGGTCTCCCTCTGGGCCAGCAGGGGGAAAAGGGATGTTAAAAGAGCTAGAACCCTCAGAGATGCTCCTCTGAAGCAGGGGAAGGAAAACTAGAAAGGAAAACTGTCCCAGGGCGGGGAGTGGAATAGGACCCCCACATCTCAGACTCTCCTACCCTCAAGCAGTCAAGTCTCACCCCCTGCCTTCTCTGTCAACGGTGGGGGTGATTCCAATAACTCTTCTCGGCTTCCACACTCCAGGTGCCCTTCGTGAATGCTGGGTGGCTTTAACCCTTGGGGGTCCCAATCAAGTTTCCAGAATCCCACTGTCCACCATTCTCCCCCAAAGAAGGTCCCAGAAAAGGTGAAGGTGAAGTTCCGTGTCTTCAGGCAACACGGGCATAAGCAGCAATCATCACACGAAGTTTCCCTAAGGTCGTCGGGGATCCTCTCCTGCCACTTCTGGGGCCCCTCTCTTGTCGCCTTAAGGTCCATGCTACCTGCCTTGAGGAGCTGTGTCCAGGTTGTGGGCTCCGGAGGACCGAGGAGTGAAAGGCTGGAGGTGCATTTGAGGGTGGAGGCGCTGGCGGAAGATCCTGCCCACAGTCCGGAGTTTTAGGCCGTCTGATCCTCGTCCGCAGCCCCTGGCTCGGGTTGCGATCGCTTCGCGGAGCCTTCTCCAGCTGCGGGTTCCCCTAGGCTCCTCTTGGACGTTGGCGCGGTTGGCGGGGACGACGGACCAGGATCGGGGTTCGGGGGCTGGTAGCCGGGCTGTCGCGGATCCAGCGCGTCCTTGGAAAGTAGGATGGCGAGGCTGGGCACGTTCTTAAGTACGCTGAGACTAGCGACCGGCTCGCCAGGCGTCTGACCCTGCGTGGGCCCAGGCGGGAGGCTCTGCCACACCTCGCGCACGCTCCGGTAGCGCAGCCGCGTGACCTGGTGCAGGCCCGCCAGGCGGCGCTTGAGGATCTCGGCGCACGTGACGGTTTTGGTGGTGGCCCGGCCGCAGCCGCTGAAGACGATGGCGCGCGTGGCTGGCTGCGCCATGCTGGCGGTGGCGAAGGCCATCAGGTTCCGGATCTTGCTGCCTTCCTTGACCCGCATGTGCACCGCGCCCGGCGCCAGGTCTGCGAAGGGGCCAGAGCCCGGGCCGCCCCCCTCGGCCCCGCCCCCCGCTGGCGCCTCTTCGGAGCGCACCTTACGGAAGTTCTCCATGCGCCGTCGTCGCCGGGACCGCCGGCTTTGCCATGGGGCGGCCTCAACCCCGGGGCTGCATGGCCGCCGGTCTCGCCCTGCAAGGGCCCGCAGGGGTAAGGGCGCGGAAGCAGCTCGGACGCCGGCGGGCTGGCTGGGACGGCGCGATCTCGGCCCCACTTCTCTCGAGCGGGCGCCGCTCTACTCCGCGCTCTCGGCGCCCGGTGCCCCGCGCCTTTAGCTGAGGCCCCGCCCCTGCCGCCAGGCCCCTCCCCTGACCCGGCCCGGCCCGCCCGGGCCCCAGCTTCACCAGCCTTTCGTGGCAAGTCCGGGTCCTCAGCTACGCGGGCGTGGGAGCGGGCGCGCTGCGGGGCGCGCTGCGGGGCGCATGGGCAGGTGAAGGTGAAGTTCCACTATAATCGCCATCAGCGCTCTCCGAGCCAACCCTCACAAACCGGCAGCCTAAATAAAAGCTGCGCTTGCGGTGCAAACACCGCTTCAAACCCGGTATCCTAGCCCTTCCCCGTTGCAGTTGAAGGCCTCCCCTCGTCCCCTCCCAGGGAGAGATTTCCGAAAGGCTTGCTGGGGCCTCGCCCCTCCTCTCCCCGCTGGGGAACACCCCCACCTTTTTTCCGCTCCCAAGTATTCTTGCCTCAAGGACAGCTAGTGCGCGGTCAGCAGAGTGCGGGAGGAGCTGGCTGCGGCTCCACTCCGCGCCTCCCCTCGGGCGACTACGTCGCGGCGTGGTCCTCGCGGGGCGCGGGAGACCCAGGCTTCAGCCTCGCCACGCCTGTCTAGAACTCGAGGCTCCCGGACCCCCGTCCACCCCTGGGACGTGAGGAGTGAGGCTTTGGGCCAAGCTGTTCCCCGAGGCGCGTGAGGAAGCGAGCGAGACCTCTTCTGAAAAGGCGGTAGGCTGGCTCCACCTATGCCCGAGAGCCCACTCTTAGGGCTGCGCGCTTTAGGGTGAGCCAGGCACGATGCCATGCCAACGTGGCCACCCCCTTCCTCCCAGGCGAAATTCGATCAGGCAACCTTGGCCCCTTGAGATCCAGTGGGTCTTTTTTCGAACGGAGGCTGGGTGAACGCAGGTTTTAAGAAAGAGAAGGGAGGGGCCGGGCGCGGTGTCTCACACCTGTAATCCCAGCACTTTGAGAGGCCGAGGCGGGCGGATTACTTGAGGTCAGGAGTTCGAGACCAGCCTGGCCAACATGGTGAAAACCCGTCTCCATTAAACATACAAAAATCAGCTGGGTGTGGTGGCACGCGCCTGTAATCCCAGCTGCTCAGGAAGCTGAGGCAGGAGAAGCGCCTGAACCCGGGAGCTGAAGGCTGCAGTGAGCCGAGATCACGCCACTGCACTTCACCCAGGGTGACAGAGTAAAACTATGTCTCAAAAAAAAAAATTAAAGTAATTAATTAATTAAATAAAATAAAAAAGAAAGAGAAGGGAGGGAAAGCCCATTCTCCATGATGTGATTATTATGCATTGCATGCCTGTATCAAAACATCTCATGTACCCTCTAAATATAGACACCTATTATGTACCCACAAAAATGAAAAAGAAAGACTTTAAAAAAATAAAAGAGAGAAAGAAGGGAGGAAGATGGGGAGTTGAAGCCCTGGGGGCATTATAGAGCTACTGGATGCCTCTCTTCGGAAACTCCTCGGGACCGAAGGAGAGGCCCGGGGTCTCCTGCCGGTGAGAGAAGCATTAGAGAAAGATGAGATTGGGGCTGTCAGGACTACTGATGGAAGGGAGGGGGTCTGAGAAGGGGCCCTACCCTCCCTAAAACTGCCCTCGGGCCTCGCCTGTCCTCCTTCCACCGGCCCCACGCAGTCAGGACTGAGGGAGGTCGGCAGATCTGGTCCCAGCCAGGGGACTGTGACGGGGCGTGGCAGGGAGGGACACAGAGAGCTGGGGCTGGCAGGCAACCGGAAAAGTGCTGGGGGCATGATGGTGCCTGGGATTGCTGGGCCTCAGTTGGAGATGAGGCTGCCAGACTATTTTCTGTCTCCTCCCGCTGTTCTCACCTCCTGGGCATCAGCAGCAGCTCTCAGTCCCTGCTGTTCAAAACTAGGGTTTACCCCCTTACCACTTCTTGGGAGCGACTCTCGGTCCCTGCTGTTCAGAACCGGGGTTTACCCCCTTACCACTTCTTGGGAGTGGCTGCGGCGCCTGGACCTTGGCACCCCAGTGTGTGAATGGCTGACCCTCTCCCCGTCTCCTGGTGGAATCAGGAACCCTCGGGGTATGCTCCGAACCAGGACTTCGGTCTCGCTCCAGTCTCCGTAGGCCCCACACAGCGGTGGGGGCTAGAGGCACAGCAGCCTTGGGAAGATACAAAGACTGTCCGCAGCGCGTAGCGGGGCGTGGAGAGCCGAGGGCTGTGTAAGGTCAGGCCCTGAGAAAAAGTCCCCGAAAGGCTGGAAGTAACGTTGGAACGGGCTGGTTGTGGAAGGAGCGAGCTCTCCGTCCCCGGGGGTATGCAAGCTTGGGCAGCACGATCACTTGGAAGGGATTAGGCGGAGTTCTGTCATTTGGAGGAAGGGTCCTGGGAGCTTCGGGTTTGTGTAGGGCGAGGACAGGGCGGTTCTGCGTCCGGCCAGGTTGGCCCTCTATGACCCCACCGCCCCCACCCTCCTAAACTGCTGTGGAACACTCGCATTCACTGCTCTCCACAGTCGGTGAAGGGAGAACGCCGAAAAGGCCCGCATCCCCTCCTGCCGGTCCCCTCCTCTTCCCCCGCTCCCTCTGCAGCACTTAAAATGTAAATGTACATCGTGATTAGCCGCGGGGTCGCTAATTACAGCTGAAGCCATTCATTACACTGTCAGCGCGCGTCGCAGCCCGCCGGCTGTGCGCTCCCTCCTGGCCGCGGAGGGGCGCGGAGGGTGGGGGCGGGAGATGCGGGGAGTGAGGGCGGAAGGATGGGGTGCTGTGAATTAGGGTAATGTAGCAGGCCCGGAGGAAGCTGGAGTGGGAGAGAGCGGGCAGCGAGCGGGGGAAACAGGGTGGGCGGTGAAGGACGGGGCGGGGTGGCCAGGAGAGAGGAGAAACGCGGGAGGCAGGAAGGAATTGGGGCATGAAGTAGTGAGGACACAGGCAAAGGGGCTGTATGAGGGGGGAAACAGCGTAGGGGACATGGCGAAGGTAGAAAAAGCTGTGAAGAGGGTGGGAACCCCAGTGAGCGGCCAGAGTCAGAGGAGGGGAGCAGAGGGCTCAACTTCAGAAAGGCTGGTAAATAAAGTAGAGCATCAGTGGTGCACACCACACAATGGTTAGAAAAGTGGAATCAGTCAAGATGTTGTGTTAAAGGAGCTGGGTGCCAGCCATACACACAGTAGGGGAGCATTTATTTCCGTGTGTGTTTATACATGTAAATGTAGTTTTAAAATATCTGCAAGAAAACAGCACACTGACCTCTTGTTACCACATCAAGTTTTCATTACCTTGTTTAAGAAAAGAACTATTAAATATGAATACAAAGTTAAATACAGAGTCTTGGAGCAGCTTGTATAAATGAGCTACTGACCCTGAAGCTTCAGCTACTATTAGCTTCCTTCTGCCTCTGTGTGACCTGGGACAATTTACTTAACCCATTTGCCTTGGCTTTGTCATCTGTAAAATGGGGCTAATTATAGTAATCTACCTCACAGAGTGATTATGAGACACAGCCATCTTGGAACCTTGGCTGCTAAGTTCTTAGGGAATGTTAGCTGTTATTATTTTTCATATATTATTTGTGATTAAAATAAATTTTAAAAAAATTTAAAGGGATTGGGGAAAGAAAACTGGTGAAAAGGAAAAGAAATTGGGAAAGCCTCAGAAATAATAGCTATTTTCACTCACAGTGACCTGGTGAGTGGCAAACTAGACTCCTTTCACCGTGGGAGGACGTGTTGGTGTAGCTAGGCTAGAGCCCAAGCCTAGCCAATACATCTCTGTTAAGGTTCCCTGGGACCTTTCCAGCAGCACACCCTACTTCCTGTGGACAAATCTCTCATGTTCACACTGAAGGGGGATCCCTGGTACAGCCCCTCTCCTCTGTCTCCTGTTGCAGGAGGAGGATGAGGAGCCCTTTTTTTTTTTTTTTTTTTTTTTTTTTGAGACGGAGTCTGGCTCTGTCGCCCAGGCTGGAGTGCAGTGGCGCGATCTCCATTCACTGCAAGCTCTGCCTCCCAGGTTCACCCATTCTCCTGCCTCAGCCTCCTGAGTAGCTGGGACTACAGGTGCCCGCCACCACGCCTGGCTAATTTTTGTATTTTTAGTAGAGATGGGGTTTCACCGTGTTAGCCAGGATGGTCTCGATCTCCTGACCTCGTGATCCACCCATCTCGGCCTCCCAAAGTGCTGGGATTACAGGCGTGAGCCACCATGCCCAGCGAGGCGCTCTTAAAACTGTGATCCTAGTCCCAGCCTCTTTGGGCAGGGACTTGGAAGCTTGTGAGTAGAGTCAGGAATCAGAAAGTTAGCAGGGCCAGAGGGAACTCAGATTTAGCAGGCACCCACCGAGTGCCCAGCATTGGGTCAGATGTGTTCAATCTCTACAGTCTTCCTTTCCAGGAAGGCATCATCATTGTTTGACAGATGTGAAACTGAGACCCAGAGAGGTTAAATAACTTGCTCTATGTACCACAGCTAGAAAGCAGCAACCACAGATGTTTGAATCCAGAATTCTGACTCCCTTTACTATCTTAGCTGAATATAAGAGAAAAACAAACTTTTAAATGACTCACACTGCCCAAAGGGGTTAGCTTTGGGAGATAAGGGTGTTTCCACAGTGGGAAAGATGTGTTGGTGATCTGTTCTGCATAAAAATTACCCCACAGCTCAGCAACTTAAAACAGCAAACATTTGACCAGGTGCAGTGGCTCACACCTGTAATCCCAACACTTTGGGAGGCTGAGGCTGGAGGATCGCTAGAGACCAGGAAGTTGAGACTGCAGTAAGCTGTGATTGCACCACTGCATTCCAACCTGGGTAACAGAGTGAGACCCTGTCTCAAAACAAACAAACAACAAAACCCAAAAACAATCATTTATGATTGTGAGATCACACAATTTCTGAGGGTCAGAAATCCAAGAACAGCTTAAAGAGGTCTCAGCTAGCTCAGGGTCTGTCATGAGGCTGCAGTCAAGATGTCAGCTGGACATGGAGGATCTACTCCCAAACTTATTTCACATGTCTGTTGGTCAGAGACCTCTGTTTCTCCTCTGGTCTGATCATGACCTGGCAGCTGGCTTCCCCTAGAGCAGGTGATCAGAGAGAGACAAAGAGAGAGAGGGACAGAGAAAAGAAGCAGGAAGCTGCAGTGCCTATTATGGGCCAGCCTCCTCTGAAGTTGTACGCCATCATTTCCAGTTTATTCTATTGGAAGGCAGCCCAGCCTACATTCAAAGGGAGGGGTTTTAGACTCCATTTTCTGAAGGGAAGGGTATCAAAGAACTGTAGGCATTTCGAAATCACAACAGAAGGGGAGTGTTTGGGAGGCAAATTTAGGAGGAGAGGGAAGAAGGAATCAACATATTGAAGCAAATACGTGGAAAGAACACTGGCCTTGAATCAGGCGAGCTAGATTTATTTCCTGGCATACAGCAAGCACCTAATAAATGTTTCAGTGAATGCAGGATTGACAACTTTTCTGAGACTGTTTTCACAGACATAAGAGCAGTTACCACCCCACATGCTCTCCTGAGGATTGAGTGGGATTATGGGTATCAGAGCTCTTTGTAAATGTAATAGTGCTGGCTGATGATGCCTGGAAGTGAATGTGGTCTGGGACACAGGGAAAAGGCTCTGCCATACAAGAGCCTCTGCCCAGGCCAGGCATCTCTTCTATCAGACTGAGTCCCAGGCCCTGGGGTAGTGCTCTGATTCCAGCTCTCCTTCTCAGCTCTCTATCTCAGCCCCAGTCCAACCTCCTCACCATGGCTCAGTTCTAGGTATTGCTTTTCTCCTTGAGCCAGTGGTAAGGAGCCTTACCACTGGCCATGCCTCTTGCCTTCAGGCCAGTCTTCCTCTTGTGCTGGCTGTGGCCCCACAGATGGGGAACGGGGGTTTGCAGTGCAGATCCAGTGAGTGATGCCATTTGAGGACAATAACCATTAATCTTGCATGAAATTCAATTACTCTCCTAGCAGATAGGCCAAGTCACCCAAGTCCTGAGTGGG